CCATCCACTTCCAATATCCCTTAGACCCTCACGTTACCATTCTTTTTTCCCACACATTTCTTTCGAATCTTTTTCTCTACCTTTGTGTGCCATACATAATGTGTGGTAAGTTGGACTGGTGCACATCTGTGCAAAGTTCTAGGCGGAAACTCGGTTAAGTCAATAAATCACATCCCATCTGTTAAGCGATATTCAACTGCCAGCTTCTTATTTAGCCGTAAAAATTCACCTTTCACTTATGAATTTATTATCAAGCTGTACAATCATATATATGTATATATGTTTTATATTGTGAGGAATTATATCCCGTAAGGGAATTAGGTCAAAGGTGTGAATACATGAAATAATACTAATAGTAGTATGAAATGCAATTAAAATATTTGCGATTATAATCATGTCAAGTGGCAAAACAATTAGTGCCATATATAGAATGATATATAAGATGGGTGTATAGATGCTGGAAAGGGGTAGATAATTATAGGATTAGAACTGAAATTGAGCAAATAAGTTGGATGACGTAACACAAATGGTTAGAAATTGAGCGTTGGTCAAGTCAATAACAGTGGTAGTGAGGTGTAGAGTTAAATCGGGTGGGGGTAGAGAACAAGAAAGCTGAAAATGCAAAATATTACAATTGAGAAGACGAAATAATACTAATGAAGAGACAGAAAAAACCTTTGGAACTGAGTCAGTGTCCAGTTTAGACTGCTTATCTTTCATGTTGCTGTCAATAAATCTGTTAGGGTAACCGTTTTCTGCGAGTGTGCCTTTTAAGAAAACAAGTTCTGAGTCAATACAATCAGAACTACAAATGTTCCTTATACTAAAGCAGAGTGAACCGAAAATTATGAATTTATATATTTTTTATTTTTACAATATTGAATTCTATCTTATCAAATTTCACACTATGTTATGTAACATCCTATATTCGTCTACTAATCTTATAATTATGTACCTCTTTCCAAAAATCTATACAGCTTTTGTATTATTTTATATATGACATTAATTATTTTGCCACTTGACATTAAACTATGATTATAATCACAAATATTTTAATTGCATTTCATACTACTATTATTATTTCATGTATTCACACTTTTGACCTAATTCCCTTACCGGATATAATTCGTTACAATAAAAACCATATACTCAAGTGTTGGTTTGCAGGGATTTGATTGGTTTCAGGATTTCATCATGAGCTGACATTAGTTAGACAACCATTGGAAAACCTGGGAGTACTGGACAGCTGTTTCGTTCTAGTTTGGGACTCTTCAGCAGTACGCACCCGCCGGGATTCGAACCCAGGACCTTCCGGTTACAAGGCGAGCTCGTATACCATTAGGCCACTGGGACCCGATCCAATGGTCCTTGAATTCTAACTTCTGCCAATTCACGACGATTGGATCGGGTCCCAGTGGCCTAATGGTATACGAGCTCGCCTTGTAACCGGAAGGTCCTGGGTTCGAACCCCGGCGGGTGCGTACTGCTGAAGAGTCCCAAACTAGGACGAAACAGCTGTCCAGTACTCCCAGGTTTTCCAATGGTTCTCTAACTAATGTCAGCTCATGATGAAATCCAAAAACCATATATATACGATTGTACAGCTTGATGATAAATTCGTTGAAAATAGTCTCTTCGCTGAATATTGTGTTCTTAATTTTCACTTATGAGTAATTGAGCAGATGTTAATTGCATATAATACTACTTTCACTTCCTCCTACGCACACGATCTCCTCCATGTCACCTTCTGATACACACACACAACTCGTTTTTCCCCATTCGGGTTTCACTCCAAGATCTCATTCACTGTGTGCGTCCGCGATCCATCTCCATTTTCTTCACTATATCTGTTCGGCAGTAGGTTCTTGGTTGGTCCGTTGTTGTCGTAGTTTCTTGTTGCTTATCTCTTTTGTTGACCGGTGATCTTATCTTCAGTATGCAGCGAAGAGGCGTATATACTGTGTAAACACACGTTCTAATCATGAGAAAACTATTCCTACTCTCCTAGATAACCAACCAACCCATTAACAATACAAGATTGATTCTCTGCGAGTAAAGCGGAGCTGTGGCTAATTGATCTAGGCGCACTCTACTTCCAACACCATTGAGTTCCGCATTCCAGATCGCCTCCCACTTACCAAGGTTTGAGGGCCCAGGTTAATATCACTCGCTTTCACACTATAAGGTGTAACTCATCAACAACTGCACTTATCATTGCAAATGCTTGTTGAGTAATATTTGATTTTCATTTTTCCCCTTCAACTGCGTCACATAGTTCATTGATAATGTTACTGTGAGAAATTTTCATTATTTTCCTTCACCCCCCCCTCCGGTCCCAGCTAGCATTGACTTTTGGGCGGCAGACAACTGTCTCGCTCTCTTATTTCTTTGCCCCGAAAAATGTCTGTAGTGCAGCAGAAGAAAATGACTAGCTGTATCTTGCATTCCAGGTGGAACATAAAGCTCCAATTTTTGAAATTTCAACAGCGGTGTTGTTTTCAACGGGATGGTGTGTGTGTGTGTGGGAAGGGTTGCTAACCTCACACTCAACCTTCTGTCTTTTTCAGGATTATTACCGACTAGGACAAGTTTATTATTTTTTAATCTTTATGTCGACTTGATTCCACACAGTGTATTTGGTACACCTATGGAATTTTCTGCATGTGATATAGGTGGTAGCCCAAATTTTAGCCAGCTGACCGTTGATATCAGTTGTACATCGGCTAGGGATAGAACCCCGGACCATGTGCATGGTCAGCGAGCGTCCTGTGCCACCGACATACGGTGTGCGTTTGTGTCATCTGGAAATCAAAAACCAACCAACCACTCCCTTCTCGCATGACTGACTGGCAAGTATTCTGCCAATCAAGCAAACAAACGGATAAACACTAAAGGTGCATTGTTTACCCCCCCCCCCCCCGCACACACACACACATTAACATTCGATTACAGAAGGGAAAAGTCGAATTACGTATCTATCTATATCATTATTATTATTTTTGTTTGTTTGTAATGGATAAAAAACCGCGGTTTTTTAAAGAAGAAAAACGGAAATATAAAGAAAAACAAAAACAGAACAGCCAAACATAACATGATTTTGATTACAACGCGCGCACACACACACACACACACAATCCGTCTTCCCCCAATTGGCATTCTTTGCTATACACAGATCAGTCCATTTTAAAAATACTAACAACATACAAACAAATATGGCGAGCGTACCACCCACACACACATTCGCGCACATACGTAGGTCGCACCACCACTGATTAGCAGCCAATAAGTAGTAACACATTGTTAAAAAATAAAAGAACAAGATGAAGAATAACAAACATGTCAGTGTTATCATCATCATCACCATTATCAGCTGAAATGAATAGTGATCATCAAAACAACCCATGAAAATAATAAAAAAAAGTAGGAAGGGGAAAGAACAACACAATTTTAAATGATGAACATCAAGAATTTGAATTTAATTAACAACAAACAAACAATCAATCATCCACTGTCCCCGCCCCCCTCACCCCATTAACGAGACGAAAATCAATATTAATGGTGGTAGGTAATAATTGAGTCTGTTCCCCTGCTCCTCGTCCTCTTTCCTTTCCCCTTGATTATAACATAACAGTAACAACTTTTGATTGGGTAAAGAGAGAATAGAAGATTATGCATGATACTTTAACAAATAAAGTGTGTGTGTGTGTGTTTCTGTGGGTATGTACGTGAATGAGTCAATGATTGAGTATTACTCATTCATAAACAAAATGAAAGTGACAGAAGAAAGAAACAACACTAATCGAACTCACACACACCCACACAAACAAACAGAATTTTGTTCTGAATATTCGCCTAGATAAAATAGAAGGAAGGCGAAAGAGAAGAGGACAAAGAAGAAGAAGAAGAGTGAGGAGTGTTCAATCAAAAATGACTAAGCAGTTTAAATAAATATATTATAAAGACGATTCCTATTTTCGCGTATATACTGATCTCTTAGATTTCAATAACAAAAAAAATGAAAAGAAAAGAGAAGATTGAATTTGTGAATAAACTTGCTAAAATTTTATTTTATGTATATCCCCCCCGCCCCAGTGAATAGTAGTGTGTAGTATGTACGTGTGTATCGACGTGTGCATACACACACGCGTATGTCACAGGATACTGAATAACAACAACAACAACAAACGTGGTTGATTGCCTGGATTCATATATAAGATTAATTGGGGGGTGGGTGGGGTGTTGTCTTTGTGTAAAACACTCCGAAATAATGATAATAATAATAATATTAACAGTTATATTAGTAACAATAACAATATTATACATAGAGGTTGAACACAAAATGCGTTGAGAGGGTGGCAGGGTGGGACGGAGTGAGAGAGGGAGAGAGAGCCATGCCAATCAGAGAAGATTGTAAAAATTAATTATACACATAAGACTGACGGGGTAGCGGGGGGGGGGAAGAAAAGTTGGGCTTGGCTTTGTTGTTGTTGTTGTTTCCGCTTGCTTCCGTCCGCCCCTCTGCTCCTAATAGTGCACGTTTTTTCCTCCTCCTCCTCCTCCTCCTGATGATGATCTTCTCTGACTTACAACAAATGATGATTTAGATCAGATCAGATCAGAAGAAAAACACACACACCGAAACAAAACAAAACAAACCAAAGGGTTATCTGATTAATAGTAGTATTGTAGTGTTTGTGATGATTGGTTGTGCATTGATGTATATGTATATTATAAGAATACTGATTTTCCTCTGTATGTATGATGTATATGTAGGTGGGTAAGCGTGTCATACACACACACAGAGCGTATTGTTCTTAGAAAAGTTTCACTATCCAGGAAATACACAGAGAACAAAAAAACAAACAAATAAAATAACAAAATAAAGAAATTAACAGTAGTAAGAATAGTGTAGAGTAGAGTAGGAGTAACCGAGATAATAACATGATTCATCCCCACCGCCACCCTACTCCTCTCTCTCTCTCTCTTTGTCCTGTTGTAATTTACCAGTGAATTCCACTAAGAGTCATCATTGATACTTGAGGTGGTCCAGATCGTGTATTTGAAAAGAACACCTTTATTATATATGCAACAAAACAAAACAAAATAAAGAAAGGTTAATAATGGAGAAGATTCGTAGCTCAGGTGGATAATTTGCAATTAGTGGTGTTCTCTGAGCTGCTTGGTTGGTTGGTTTAGTTGCAGAGCTTTCCTCGTCCACCTTCTGGACAACATCTTCCTTCAGCGCAATATTTAGCATAAAGTGAAATTATTTAAATTTTTTCATGAGTGATAGAATTGCCTCTCCTGGTGACTAACCATCTTTACATCTGTATTGATCATTTTCTATTGAATTGGATTTTAAACCTTCTGGTCACATGAGATTTACGCTTTATCAGTTGGTAGATTTGATCTATATGTTAACGCGTTTTTGTCAATTGCATATTCGTTTGAGTACCAGGCTCCTAGGCATTTCCTGACTGCACTTTTGATGTTTCTTCTGTCTAAGATTTCGACATTATCCCAAACGTCAAATTGATGACCATAATAATCTATATGCATTGATATGAAACAGGAATATATATATCGTGTCTTTTCACGGCTGATTTGTGTTTCTGGATTCTAATTCGAAGGGGACGCCCACTTTGGCCGATGTAATGCCTGTTACAGTTCATACAATTTACTTTGTAAATGGTATTGATTTTATCTCCTCTTTCTGATGGATGGAGTCTTTCGGTTTGCATAATGTCGAATTAAGTGATTTGGCTGGCTTCTGTGCTATACCTAATTTTAACTGGAATATTGAAACCGTTTGAAATAGATGTAGCACACAAGCCAGTCAGCCAACACAATCACTTCATTCGATATTGTGCAAACTGAAAGGCTCATCCATCAGAAAAAGAAGATAAAATCAAAAACATTTACAAAATAAATTCTATGCGTTGTAACAGACATTGCATCCGTCAAAGTGGGCGTCCCCTTTGAATCAGAATCCAAGAATACAAATCAGCCGTGAAAAGACACGATATATATTTTCCTGTTTCATATCAATGCATATAGATTATTATGGTCATCAATTTGACGTTTGGGATAATGTCGAAATCTTAGACAGAAGAAACATCAAAAGTGCAGTCAGGAAATGCCTAGGAGCCTGGTACTCAAACGAATATGCAATTGACAAAAACGCGTTAACATATAGATCAAATCTACCAACTGATAAAGCGTAAATCTCATGTGACCAGAAGGTTTAAAATCCAATTCAATAGAAAATGATCAATACAGATGTAAAGATGGTTAGTCACCAGGAGAGGCAATTCTATCACTCATGAAAAAATTTAAATAATTTCACTTTATGCTAAATATTGCGCTGAAGGAAGATGTTGTCCAGAAGGTGGACGAGGAAAGCTCTGCAACTAAACCAACCAACCAAGCAGCTCAGAGAACACTAATTAATTACAAAGAAAGATTAAATAATCACCATGTTTAATTCCCCACATATAAACATATATAAATATAAAAGAATTAAGATAAGTTAAAATTTCTGATATTCAATTGTTTGGAGTCTGCAGAGATTTGATTGGTTACAGGATTTCATCATGAGTTGACAACCGGTTAGAAAACTACCAAGTAGTACTGAACAAGCTGTTTCATCCTTACTTAGGACTCTTCAGTAAAATATGTACTCGCTGGGATTCAAATCAAGGACGCTCTGGTAAACAAGGCCAGTCTGTAGACCCAATCTAGTAGTGTCTATTGAATCCAAACTTTTGCCAATCCATGCATCATATAGTTCAACCACTAATAATTAGATAATGTCATCCACTGGTGAGTGTATTCTTCCTGACACCCGACCACCTGATGATGTCCACACCACTATTGGGCAGTTAGTTATCTTCAAGACTTAGTGTTTGTAGAGATTTAACTAGTTTCAAGTTTGATCACGGATTGATATTAGTGTTGGAGAATCATTGAAAACTACCAACAGAGACTAATAGTGAACAGCTTTATTTTGTCCTAGTTTGAAACTTTTCAGAAGTGCGTGTACCTACAACTTCATCAGCGATCGAGATCTTCCGGGATCTTCCGATTACGAAGACAAGCTTGTTGACTATTGAACCAAGTCACTTTGGTTGGAATTCGATGACCCACGACTTCTAACTTCTGTTAATTATCCCTTCAAACAACTTACTATTATTTATGTATTTATTTATTTATTTCAATGTAAATATCGTGAATGTAATGAAGACAGTAAATTTTCATTGTGCGGTTACAGTTGTTATGTTATTATTATTATACCCTGGAGAGCACATCAAGACTAGATGGACTTCGCCTCCATCACCTACAGGCACTGAAAACCGCCTGACAGCTTAGTGAATATGCTCATACCACACAACACAGTTCTTTAGTTAAATACTATTTGTTACTGAGCTAATTTATAGGTGTGAAGGTCACCTGAATTCTTGGCCTTGTTAGGACATTCAACCTGAAGATATGAAAGCACTATGGTAATCTAATCTCATTTCGTATTCAGTATAAGTAAGGTTGGAGGTATTCTGAGATCAATATTTTTGAAAAAACAAAAAAGATTTTGAAATGTATGAAAAATAGTAATAACACTGTAGAGTCCAATCTGACATAACCAATGAGTTGCTTGTATCCAGTCCCCAGAAAAAGGTCTTCCATATATTCCAGGCTATAAGAGCTACACCACCACCACCACCACCTATTGTTTGACAGAACTGGCGATAGGTACTGTCTATAGTTGACCAAGCTGAAGCAGGTGGAGTGTGCGGTATTCCAACGTGAAATCAGTTAGTTGGTTGAAACTTAAGTCACATTCCTACTCACCCATTTTTAATCTAAATTTAATAATCATATTTCATGAATTTATTCCCCTTGATGAATTTGAATAAAGCGACAACAACAGTGGTTTGTGCAGAATAACACGGTACCATCATTTATTTCGTTGGCTTCTCATCATCTGCTTACAGCCTTAATAAATTTTGAGGTTTAAGTACAGAAACGTTTTAACATACTTGCAAATTTTACATGTTGTCAGTTGACAGAAAGTTCCACAATTAGTAAACAGTGCTCAGAAAATTGCGCTTATATAGTTTTTACACAGGCAGTTCAAGTTAAAACAAAATAAATGTATGCATATAATGGTAAAAAAGGAGTTACATGATAAAGATGAGATGTGTGTTAGATGCAGAGTGACTAATAAGTTAGTTAAAAATGTACTGAGTTGAACTCAAATCATAGAAAGAAGAGACAAGCAAAATTACAGATTATGAAAGGAGGGTGAGGTTAAAGACAAAGATTACGTAATCAGATGAGAGATGCAAAGTGACTAATAAGTTAGGTAAGACGCCTAGAAGATGGTAGTCTCCAGAGGTCAATCTACCGAAAGCCCACATGGAATGGACAATACTTACACTTTAATAGTTTTTGTCCAAATAGCTATAAACGAGCACTAGTCAAGACTCTGTACTATAGAGCGAGGAGAATATGCTCTGCAGAGAAACGAGAGGAAGAAATTACGAATCTCGAAAAGATGCTGAAACACAACGGCTATCCTCAAAGATTCATTAACAAATATGGAAGATGTGAAGGCTCAAATACCAAACAAATCACAGTTGAAAAAAAGCCTGTCTTCATTCAACTAGATTTTACAGGTGAAGACATTGCGGAAATGGTCAACAGAAGACTGAAAACGTCACTAGCCAGAGCCTATCCTGCCGCCCGTCCATCGAACAACATGCTCTTTGGTGCAGTCAAAAGTCGATAGATACCCTTCTCATGTTAACTCCAACTATGTATACAAATTTACGTGTATCTGCGGGAGCAGTTACATTGGGAGAACAGAAAGAAGGGCACACCTCCGATTTTCTGAACATATGCCGAAAAGACTACGTTTCAAGGGAACAAATTCTCATAGTAGCGCTATTACCAGACATCTCGACACGGGTCATGAGGTGGAAATCGAGAAATCCTTCAAAATTATCAATAGACAAAGGAGCTCCATTCTCCTCAAGTTTTCCGAAGCCATTTCTATCAAACGCTTGAAACCAGATTTATGTGTTCAGAAAGAAGCAGTTATTAGTCTTTCCTTGCTTTGGTAACTGGATGTCTTTTTTCTCTCATCTGATTACGTAATCTTTGTCTTTAACCTCACCCTCCTCTTATGATTCTGTAATTTTGCTTGTCTTTTGTTTCTATGATTTGGGTTGAACTCAGTACATTTTTAACTAACCTATTAGTCACTATGCATCTTACGCACATTTCATCTTTACTATGTAACTCCCTTACCAATTATATGCATACATTTATTTTGTTTTAACTTGAACTGCCTGTGTAAAAACTATATAAGCGCAATTTTCTGAGCACTGTTTACTAATTGTGGAACTTTCTGTCAACTGACAACATGTAAAATTTGCAAGTATGTTAAAACGTTTCTGTACTTAAACCTCAAAATTTATTTAGGCTGTAAGCAGATGATGAGAAGCCAACGAAATAAATGATGGTACCGTGTTATTCTGCACAAACCACTGTTGTTCTCGCTTTATTCAAAATAATTATATTCACATTGTTATGCTTAAAAGGAAATAAATATTTGAGTGTAATTACTTTTCCTATAGCTTGATGGTTCGCCAGTTGAGAAGGTTTCATTTTCGTCTTTCTTGGCAACATTTTGTCAAGTGATCATTTCACAAGATGAAGCAGGAATTTTAGAAATTCTCGATGAATGTTTAATAACTGTCTATTCTGTGATAAGCTCAAATGTGATTGGTTGGTATTTGACCTTTTGTTTGATTATGAGCTGAAATCAGTTAGAGAACCACTGGGGAGTATTGGACGGGGGCTTCGTCCTAGTTTGAGCCTCTTCATCAGTACGCAGGAGTTTCTGACTATAAGGTGAACTTGTAGACTTTTTAACCACTGGGACCCAATCCCCAATGGTTCATGGATTCCAACTTCTCCCAATTCTCAGTACATAGAACAACCATATGAGTCAATGTCACAGGCGAGTAACTGTTCTTCTCTTAACTTATGCTTGATGGACCCGGTTGATTGTGACTTTTTAATAGGTCCACAGGTAACTTTCTGTATAAAGCCATTCGCCGCTAGGTGAACATCAGACTAATTTGTCTGTAGGGATTTGAACTGTTGTCTATAGAAGGATAAGAAAACCTCCAGAGATGTCACATAACCAACAAGTAGGCAGAAGAAGCTGGGAGCTGTGACAGGACCTCAAGTGAATATAGAGAAGACAGAGGGGTCATGACGATAACCATCAATCACTATCATCGGAGGAAATTTAAACAAGGGGGTCACTTTGTTCACTTATCTAGGTAGCATCATTTTAAGTACATACGATACGGATGAGGAGGTTGAAACCAAGATCGGAAAAGCAAAGCAAACTATAATCTCTCTGAAATCAATTTGGAGAACTGCAACACTCAGCATAAAGACATAATTCAGATGTTCAATACTAATGTCAAGTCATTTAATCCCTCTTCTCTATATGGGTTAGAAACTTGGCGAAGACATCATGAAAAGCACTTCGAATAGGTTTCAGACTATTATCAATAGCTGTCTTCGTTCAACACTCAAGATCAGATGGCTGGCCAGAAAAGATCAGCAACAGGGATCTCTGGCAATGAGCGAACCAACCAGAAACCGATTATGCAACAAATAAGCAGGAAGAAATGGAGGTGGATCGGTCATATTCTGAGGAAACCATCAAGTGACCATCACTCGAATGGAACCCGAAAGGGAAACGGCGAGTTTGTCGTCAGTGCAAGAGTGACTTGGAGGAGGTCATGTGATGAGAAGATGAAAGGATGTGGGCAGACATGGAGCCAGATGAAAACGTCTTCGATCCAGCTGAAGAGACCAAATAACCAAAAAGCATAATCGACAATAGACTTTCACAGAGTACCAACCAAAAGCCTATCACCATCATTACCCAACAAATATGCCAAAGGAAATAGAGATGAATTGAACATACGTTGGAGACAGTGTTGAGTGAGATTGTGAGTCAGACCCTCTAGTGGAACCCAAATAGGAAAAGACGAGTTGGGTTTCCCAGGGTGACATAGAGCAGATCATGTGAGGCGAAAATGAAAGCTTATGTGCAACCCTGGAGCCAACTAAGAAAGACTTCTGAATAATGGTGATAATAATAACAAAATAATATAACTGACAGCTGTATTATTAAATGAACAAAATGGAGAGGAAGTGAAATATATCCATATAATATGTGGGTTTGTTTGACAGTCTGTATATTTGCTATGTATATATGGATCGATATTCCATTATAATTAGCCAATCATGTTAAGACTGTCTATTGATTTGTCCATTTTGAATATTCGCTTTCACACTTGTGTTCACACACTTGTTCGGACATTCATATATATATATATTTTGCTCTCACACTCTTGTGTGACATTGATTCTCCTTGTGGTTGGGAAAATAGAAGTATCATCGGAAACCTAGTGGTCTTCTGATTTCCGTCTTTCTTGCGTCAGGACTATTAAATTCTCGACCAGTACATAACAATAATTTGGCGACGAGTACATAATAGGAAGGGAGATAGAAAAAGAAAAAAAAGCGTCTACTCACCTTATCATTACGTTCACAGAGAAATTTGAATTTCTGTTCACGTTTATGCATGAATACACCATCCAGGTGGCCAGTTTCAGCTGATCTAACTTCGATAGCCTTTAAACCCCAACCAAGTAACTGGCCGGTGGATATATAAGCAACACAAGTTGGCACTTCACCCCATTGTATAACAACATTTTTAGTTAATTTACCATTTGTATCTACATAGACACCTTCAGCTAGAGAAATGAAAACACAAGTATAAAAGGAAAAGAAAATATTACGTAATAGCGATTTTATACTGACCAACAGATATATATATATATATATATATATATGCTCGGAATATATTTTTATTATTAAATTAAATTAGGCATAGAGGTGTGTGTATAGACTCGACCACTAATGATGACTAATCAACGGAGATAATAATAAATAAGATATAACTGCAGAGGGAATTAATATTCTAAGTATGAGCAATAGCAAATTAAAAATTCTCACGCACCAAATACTTGATGCACCGTAATCGATTTCAGTACTCTCTATCTGTCTGTTTTCGAAATAGAACTTTGCACCGATGTGCGGCAGTTCAAGTCGCCACACTCCCTCCATATAGCACACAAAGTAAGAGAAGAAAGTAGAAGAAATGCATAACACAGACAATAAACAGAGGTGTGAGACAAAGGAATAGTAATAACGAAGAACAATATAGTTTCACTGGAAATCATAGGTCACAAGGATTGAATGCATCTGCACCTGGCATTGAGAACGATTTTGAGCCATATCACCAATTGTTTCCAGCCACTGGTTTTTACCGTCCCGAGGACCCCAACCAGGAAACCAGTCTACACCTTCCTATGTGGCCAGCTTAAACTAACTGTTGTGGATTTCATTGACTGATGAAGCCATGTTTTAGTTTGCTCGTCGCTAGCTCTTTTCCAGTCTGATCCCATGTCAGCTAACATTGCTCGTCAAGGAAGGCGATGACTAGGCATACGTAACACATGTCCTAGACACCTCAGTCGATGTAATTTCACAGCCTCGTAGACTGATTTCCCCTCCTTACCTAGAACTCGACCGAGGCCTTACCTCAATACTCCTAACCCTATTATATCACCTGACACGGGAAATAGAACGCAGATACCTATGATCAAAGACAGTTAACCTTTGCATGTCTTCCACTCTCGATGACCAGGTCCCACAGCCATAGAGGAGGACGGAGCGGACTGCTGAGCAGTACACTTGCCCTTTGGTCGATAGCCGGCCGGATATCGCGTCTACGCCAGAAACGGCGTAAACTGGTATATGCGAAGCTATCCCTCTGTATCCGTGCTGAGATTTCGTCGGAGATCAACCCGTTGGCACTGGCTGATGGTACCTCCCAAATAAGTGAAGCGGTCAACATGCTATACCACTTCACTTTCTATTTTTAAACTAGGCGTCGCTGTAGTCCAGTCCTGTAACATCATCTTACATTTGACGGGAGCGAATCGTATGCCAAACATTCGTAGACTGCAGCTCAAGGAGTTCAGAAGACTCTGCTCTATTTTGTCAGCGTCCTCGCCTAGGAGGACTATATCGTCTGCATATTCTAAGTCAACGAGACTGTTATTCCCCGTTGGTAGCAAGTCAATCCCTGTGTCTCTGAAGTGAGTTAGGGTTAAATCCATTAGTACATCTATGATGAAATTGAATAGAAATAGGGATAATGGACATCATTTCTGACGGACACCGCTAGTCGTCACCCCACTTCAGATGACAACCCGCCGTAACCACCGAAAACTAAAAAGGACTACTGGATAGCTGGATATTAGTTTGGCAACTGCACTGAAATTGCGAATTTATAGAAGTTAGAATTCATGGGTCATTAAAATTTATGCTCAAATGGTTGAATGGTTAAATGTAGTCACCATTTTTGGATTAGACAAAGAGGGAGACATCGGCGTTCACAACATGCACCTACCTGCCAAGTCATTTACCTATTGGTTTTATCACATAGAGATATAATCCTACGCTGGTAGACGATGAGATAGAATACTTAAGACCTCTCATATTTGACAATCATATATTTCATTATCATATCTCATTAATCATTATTCAAAGATTTCACACATCTGACTACTAAAATATTCTTCATAAACCTTTAATTAGGTAGGACACCAATTTAAACTGATAAGTCTTTTAAAATGAAGTCTGTCTCAGTTTCTTTTTTTGACAGGATATGACTTTTTTTCATCCTTTTGTGTGTTTTGAGTGAAACAAAGGGGGGGGACTTTACGTTTGAGCGCTGAAATCTCAGTAATGATAGTGCTGATTTTACAGGGGGGGAAATGGTGAGGAGGAGGAATCGCCTGCCAGACTCACTTCTGACCTTCCCTCTTTTCTCTATTCTCACTACCTGCTAGTAGGAGTGCGTCGGCCGGGAAACGAAGATAAATTGAACATGACTAGCTGCCCCTTAATCAATAACAATACGATGTGAAAAACGTTGTCTCAACTACACGCGGAACGGATGAAGATGTTAAAACCCGCCAGAATTTGAAAGGCAAAACAGATAGATATTCATCATTCTGTAATCCAGTTTGGAGATATTCAGTAGTCCGCCTCAGCACCAAGAACAAGATTCAGCTTTTCAAGACAAATGTTAAGCCAGTTCTTCTATTAGAATTAGTAACTATAAACTATGAGAGCAAGCCTAACCACCAACAACCTATTGTTCAACAAATATGTAGAAGAAAATGGGAATTAATCGAACACACACACCCTGAGGAGATGATATTGTGCATCAGGCCATATAGCTCGCATGGAACCTGAGTGGAAAACCTCGAGTTGAGCGTGTTTCCGAGGATGACATAGAGGAGATGGTGAGAGGAGGAGGAGGAGGAGGAGATAAGACACTATGGGCAATCGTAAGGCCAGCAGCTAAAGAGGATCGCAGAAAATAGGACAAAGCGGAGATGCTCTATCTGTTGAAGACCTATCTTCCACTCGGAACCCAAGGGAACAATAATAATAAATAAAATAGTGATATAAAAAACAGGAAGGAAAATATTTAAATGAATATCGTGTTTAAGAAAAAAACAGGCAGATTATTAACACTCAAGAAATACGGCGAAGGGGGCGGGTATGTATTGAATCTTACTGTCAACTTAGTATAATACAATCAATCCAGAAGTTAACATAATTCACGCAAAGAATACGGTCACAACCTACTTACAAAGTATACATACAATTCGAAGTTGTAATTATCATCAATCACACTACAGTTTCATATCAATATGTGTGTGTGTAAAACTTGGGTACTGTGGTAGTAAGTATTGTCATATTAGTTACTTTATTAGATATATCACACAGTTAGTGAAACAGTATAAGAATTTACTGGATGACAAGGTTTCAAACACAGTCTGTTATTCGGAGGTTGAAGTCTATTGATTTTTGTACACACAGTTTAGGCTGTATGTGATTAATCCCCCAGAGTGCTTCCATCACGTTCAATAACCTTGAATTAGAGTTATGTGAAATAACTGTGAAACAGTCATTAATATTGATTTTGTGACCTGACATTAATAAGTGTTTTGCAATGGATGATTTTTTGTTTCTCTTCCCTTCACGTTCCCCAGTGGAACATAGAGCTTCAAGCTAGTGGCTTGAAGTTTCTGTAGCAATGTTTATTTTACAGGATGAGGTTGCTAACCTCATGTCCAACCTCTCCTCTTTACCAGCATTTCTGGATCAACGAGGTAAGGGAATGGCGTCGGTGGCCGGGGAATGAACCTCGGACCATGTGCATGGTCGGCGAGCGTCCTAACCGTTATACCACCGATGCAATGGATGATACTGGATTTCTATACAGATTAATTGCATTGGGATTTTCTATATGTTTTAGGAACCACTTTGGAACATGTTCTTTTCGATGACATTGGAACATTCTATTGGTTCTATCTATATAAGTGTCACCTCAGCTGCAGGTGAACTTGTAGATACACAGCTTAAAGTGGAGTTCACAGGATTTCGTCTTTTAATCATAGATACAGGGATCGAAAATGTTCGGCATGTGAGAGGGAAAGAGATACAGCGTAGAACGTGCGTTTGATGGCTGACCAAAGTCTTTAAGCTAGCTGTCAACTGCATAATCTGGTCACCTTGAATGGGGTAGGTTAATAAAGATAGCTTTCTTTGGTAGAGAAGCTGTCTTTTCTAGATGTGGTCTATCCTTACTGTGATAAGTGATGAAGTTCTCTGGATAACCATTAGCTAATAAAACTGAATGTATATGTCGAAGCTCCGCCATCAATTGTAATCACACCACTTCATTTTTATAGTTTTCTTTATTTTCTCCTCTTTGTCGAAGGGTTGATAAAAATTTTCCAGATGTCCGGCTGGAGAGATGTTCTCAGTTGATTCATTAAATACAGCTTCTGTTATCAATCTTTCCCTCCACTCTGTGACATTAGATTTTAAAACTGTCATCTTACCCCATCCATCTTATCGTATGCTTGTGTGTGTGTGTGTGTGTAATTGCATGTAGTGAGTGGCATAGCTGAACTATTCTCTAGATTCCTTATCTTATTTGGGTCAACCAATCTAGATTTCACTGCTAGGTTTTTGTATTCTGCTAGTCTAACTGACTCCATTCTACCACTTTGATCTATGTGTTTGACCTGACAATCAAATCTAGATTAGTTGGTCCGAACAAGATAAGAAATCTAAAGAATAGTTCAGCTGTAGCACTCACTACATGCAATTACGCACACACACAAGCATACAATAGGATGGATGGGATAAGATGACAGTTTTTAAGTCTAATGTAACAACTGGGTAGAGGGAGACGTTGATTGATAACAAAAGCTTCGTTTATTGAATCAACTGACAGCAAATATATGTAACAGGAATGATTCAACACCTGTCCTGTTGGATATCTGGAAAATTCTACTACCCCAATGATGACAAATAAGAGAGAACAAATAAAACCATAAAACTCAAGTTTTGAAGTTAATGTGATTTTAACTGTGATATGATTATGAACAATAAGTGAATTGTGTTCTAAACATTGTCATGCTGTTTCACTGACTGTATGGTACATCTAATAAACAAACTAGAAAGGAAACACACTACAATTTCCTTTGACAATCAAATTTATTCAAATCTCAGTGTATATGATACCTAGAAACGATGCGATGTGTCATCATCCTACATATTGCCACACCAAGTCATATGTGAGTATACTTTTAGATAGATCTCATACCAGCGAGGTCAAGAGGTGAAGTAAACACGAGATCACATGCACGCACGCACACACACACACACACACCCATCCACACATTATCAATCATTAGTAAACACAACAAATACATATTTTCTAAGAAAGATAATAAGGGCTTTCAACGCAAATATTGATTTCTTTTTGACTATTTGCAATACAATATTGACTTACTATCATAGCATAAAAGTAATTGCATCCCATCGGTATTGGGTAGAACCACTATACAGTGAGGTGTGATCTGTGAACTGATCTGAAAAAGACAAACAAACAAGGAAACCAACAAAATATGAAGGGAAATACTTCTTTCTTTTTATTCAAGAAGAATGAAAGTGTTCTATTTCAGTTTCATGGAAAATTCCCATTGGGATATATATATAATCAATATGAGTGATTCGGTGAAGAGACTCTTTTCAACGGAACTGTACAATCGAATATATATATATATATATATATATATACTTTCTAAGAAATTATATCCCATGAAGAGATCGAAACGAAGGTGTGAATACATTATTATAAGTTGCCTGGAGATGCCTAGTGAGATGTTGTGACCAGTGGGCCCGCCATACGGATCAGGTGTGGGAACAACTACTTGTCATCAAAGTTGAAGTTATTTAATCATCAATAAGGTTGGTTAGTCAGTTAGTTATCCATTGACAAATGAAGAATAAATAATAGAGCAAAATAAAACTTTAAAGAGCAGGATAAATAGTTCACCTTCGTAAACTTCGAAATCCACTGCACCGATGGGTAGTAAATGAACAGTGAATAAAAAGTGAAGTGTCCACTGCAGTAGATAACAGGAATACAATAGCTGCTGATATCGGTAATAGAGATTTCACAAACACCTTAGACAGACAGAGAGCAGTAAACATTTGAAATGAATTGGATTTTCAACACGGAACTAACTCTGATGCAACACTTCAACTAGCCGTACTACTACTCCATAAAAGTAAACAGTTAAGTAGAAAATGCAAAGATATCATGAAGAAATGAAAATCTGCACAGGGAAGAATAAGTGAACGGAGAATAATGAAGATTTAATAAGCCTAAAAGGTGACAAAGTGTGAGAATGCATTTGCACCATTCAGAACGATTTTGTGGCAGATCACCAACAACCTCCAGTCATTGATTCTTAGCGTCTTTTTGGGTTAAAGCAACTGCCAAAAACTTTATGGATTGATCCCGTATTTTGATTTGACCACTCTCTTAACGCTTTTCCCTCCTTATCCTGCATGAACAAACATTACGTATTGAGGAAGGCGATGGTTAAGCATGCGGAACACGTGTCCTATCATCCATCTCCATAGATTTAAATTCACAGACTTGTCAAATGATTTTCACTCCTTACCTGACATTATATATGGCTAACACCTCATTGTTACTGATCATATTGAATTACCTAGCACAAGAGACAGGATAGAGACACTTATGGTCAAAGACAGCTAGCCTCTTCATATCCTTTACTTTGAAGAGCTATGTCTCACAGCCGTACAGTAGGACAAAGCATACTGCTCCCACAACAGCATGCACATCGTTTAGTGGTTAGATAAACACCAAACTGAACTGACAGATAATTGGAAGGAAGTTCTGGACTTAGGTTTAGTGGTTGTTGGCACATTCACTAGTCGGAAAGGCGTATCTGCAATCCTAAAGGATTTTATGTCCCGCTCTGATATTCGAACCAGCGTCACCCAGTGCTGCAGTCAGAGTCGTTATCACTAAGCTAGCTATTCTGGTTCGCGATACACCACCTTACACCTGTGCGAAAGACGACGCAGCTCACACTAATATGACTAAGGTGATCAATTATATGTGTTGCAATCTAATTCTCTACAGTCCACTAGAGCTAATTAACTACACATCGGTATATCCTATTTATAATAAGAAAATACGTACTTATACTTGTGCGTTAGTGGTTCAGCGATAGGACGCTGGCCAACCACTCATGACGTCCAAGGTTCAATCCCCTGTCGACACACTCCTAGACCTCTCTAAGCTGGTAGTTGGGCCGGCAAAGAAGGAAGGTCGGGTGTGAGGCTAGCAACCGCACGCAATGAAAACAAGGATAACTGCTATCGAAACTTCAAAGCTTCAACTTGAAGCCCTGTGTTACACTTAGAATGTAAAGGAATAAAATGGTAATAATAATACTAACTAGTAATGTGACCTACTTATAAATACTGCCTCCAAAGCCTCAGGATGGTCGGGGGTGGGTGCCTTGCGCTGCGGGTTGGCCACCCCTCCGCACACCTCTTGAAATGCTCCCATAGACCGGGCGTCTTACATAGCCTCTCCTGAGGAAGTCCTACTCACTGCCTTCACGTGGCGGAGGTGTTTCTCACCAAAGTGAGAGGGCGAAAGCGGATGCCCGGCGCTCTCCACCGGGTTGACTGACCATTGGATGACGGTCTAGGGGAGATGGCTAAACCCTGATTCCAAACCTCCAACGACTGGCGTATGAAGCTCACTGGAGCTCACCGGCAGACGTATGGACAAAGAGCTTATTGGATGCCCTGGATGTCTGGCCCCATACAAAAAGGAGTATGAACCGGACTCTGGTCACCGGATGCCAATGGATAGTGGACTCCCTACTCCACTCCTACTACCTTGCAGGTCACACTTGGTTGTGTAAAGGCTAGAGCTGCACTCTCAAACAAAAGGCCGAGCGATGCTGGGGACATCACTCGTACCTAATTCCCATGAAACTTCATGAACTCTCGTTGCTACAACATCAACCAAATTCCATTACTGGTCCAACAACGTCGCCTTCGATGGTTTGGCCTTGTTCTGCGCCGACCAGATGACGATCTGGTCAAATCAGTTCTAAATCCCTCGCCATTTCCATCTTGGCGATTTCGCAGGGGTGGACAGCTGAAAACATGGCTTGGTACATTCAAGGCTGATATGGAGTGCCTGGGGCTACAAACCGTCTACGGACTCCGTCTGTGGAACAAGGATTGGGTAACCCTGTCGCAAAACCTTGCATCAGATCGCCGCGCCTGGGCAGCGATGATTCGAGATGTTCATGAAGCCGGCTCATCCTCCCGTAGGAGATAGCCGAAGTAAAGTAAAATAAGTTATAAATACTAGTAAGTAGTAGAATTTATTACATAACAAATTAATTAAACGTTACCAACGACAACTACACTCAACAGAAGCTGATTTGCTTTCATGCCTTCATCATTCATTGTGTGTACACATTTTGTAATTTGCAATTTAAAAATATATATATGGGATACCAATGAACGAACACACAACTTACCAATGAAGGAATATATAAATCGAAGACTGTATTCGAATCTAGATCAATAGCATGAAATCCACTCGATGAACCATAGATCACTTTTAATCGTGTATTCTCTTCAACTGTTAAATCTACCAGTAATGGTCGATGTTTCAGTTCAGAAAATCGCTAATATACAGAGGAAAGAGTTTCAATAAGAGACAATTTATAAAGGATATATATATATGAATTACCCATCGAAATGGAGTGAAATTGAAACCTAATTCACATGACTAATAAAGCTAAAGTTATTAACAAAGCATATCTAGTAGTAAGTAGGACTTAAAGCCAGGATGCTAAACTGACTGGGACTCATGTCCCTGCAGGTCATACCATGTCAGGAAGGTTGTTTGGATAGCAGTTAAACTAAAAGCAGTTACCATGGGGTACATGGGCTCCAGTATCCAATCGCATCAAATGGCGTATGAACCCATATGGGTTACCGAAAACCATGGGAATGCAGCTCCTGACGCTGCTCCGATGCCTTGCGGATTAGACTCCAAGTCAAAGGCTCGGGGGGTGGTCCCTCAATAAAGCCACCTGCTTCGGTCTGGGCGCCCGGTCAGTATCTCAGCCCTGACACAATGAATTGAATAAAGCAACACGTGTTGCAATTCCCTTCTTTCTTCCCTTCCCGATGTTAGTTAACGAATACTGTTTGAACTTGTTAAGCATGACTGTTTTCCTTCCAGATAAAGTTCTTTATCCGTTCTCTACTTATATATATATATTCTCTTCTTTATTTCTTTTCTTTTGATCTATGTTGTTTTATTATTATTGTGTGGCGCATCCTTCTTGGTGCCATATTGTACCAAGTTTTAATGCGTTTGTATGACCAGATTGTTCGAAATGTGTTCTGCAAATACAGCATATTACACGATTCAGACAAATTACATCAGTTTATTGCTTTGTCTAAATTCATTATTTTATGTTTAATATAATACGGTGTTTTTCAGATAAATCTTGTAATTTTGCATTATATATGCATCCCTCTTCTATTCGCAGTTTGAATAACCCTTTGGATTATGATGTATAGGCAATAAATTGTACAGTTAAGTGGATGAATTCACTGAAAAGAAACTCGCGATGTCTATAAAGAAGCATTTTTTGTGAATGAGAACATTCGTAAACACACACACACACACACGCAACACTACAAAATGAGAGAATACTAAACCACCACATCATGTAAACTCACCTTAAAAGCCATAAATTTATGATAAGGACGAGGTGCCCAAGCATAAATCTCTACAGAATCTCGCAGAGCAATGACAAGGAATTTTATCTTTTCATACTTCACTGTATCATCATTTTTTTTTAAAAAAAAAGCCAAAAAAAGGAAAATTAAATTAACAACAACAACAACAACCTACGATAGCATTCAGACAATACCAATTGAAAATTGAACTACCGTGTGATATTTATCCACATGATGTGTGTTTTGTTTTTGACAGTCTATTATATTTTGCTATGTGTATATGGATCGATATTCCATTATAACTGACAATATGCTTTTGTCTGTCCATTAACTAAATGAACAATGTATGACCTTGTTGTCACATGACATTACAACCAATCATGGTAAGATGACTGTCTATTGGTCCATGTGTATTAGCCATTTTCATATATACTTTTGTATTAGACACTTTTATAGATTCTGGTTCAGACACATTTCGTACATCTAAGTACCCTTCCACTCACACACTTGTGCGACAATTATTTTCCTTGTCTGGAAAATACAAGTATCATCGTAAACCTCGTGGTCTTCTGATTTCCCTCTTTCCGCGTCGGGACTATTAACTACTCGACGAGTACATAACATCGTGCAAATTTAAACTTACGCAATTTAAAATACGCGATCTGCTTGATACCACTAGAAATGATAATCACGAAAACAAGCATAAATGAGTAAAACTATGTATGTGTATACTACTGATTGACTGATAGAAGGAGTAGTCACATACCACTGACATCAAGCAGCAGTGCTTGCGCTAGCCAGCCAGATCGATGTGATGTAAACACTGGACAGACAGCCGTTTTAGCTCAATAAGACCGACTTCATCAGCCGTGTACGACCCGGCTTGACTCAGCTCTGAAAGCCAATTCAGTCCACACTTTTAAACTTTTCTATAAAAAAAAATGACGCCCAAATGGAATGACACAAAGAAAGGCTAAGAGTCTGAACAACTCATAGAAGTACAAGTACACCATCTTTAGTCGTAAATTAATAACACTGACCAACTTGTCAGTCAGATTCAACTGTTTATCGGATTTCCTTTCCTGCATGTTTGATATTTTCTCATGAAACAACCAATGGCTGTCACCTTAGTTTATTTAGTTATTTTACCATACAGGTCGATGGAAGGAAGTTAGCACTGAAAAACTAAACAATTTCATACTTTAATCAATAAGAACTGCAAACTTTTATTTAACCTAAAAATTAATCATCAATCCAAGAAATTTCACTGAAGTGAAGTTAAACGTTTGATTGTTCAATTGACAATAAGCAGGAGAGGAGTGGAGCGCGTATCAGCGTTAGCAATTTCGACTGCTATCCATATTTATATTTCAATCGTCATGATGAATCCGCCGAATTAGTGTACCCTGCTAGTAATTAGAGTTGAAGTGATTGAGAACTAATCTGTATATATTCTTGGTTAAGATGCATTCTGAACTGAGTCAGGATGAGTATATATATATATATATATATATAATTGAATTTCGAAATAATGCCCTACTTAGTGTCACCCCAATTTCTTCCTTCTGGTTTAGCAAGTCATGTAATACGTTCCTACTTCCGAAAAACGTCTCTACCTGAATCTACAAACCCAATGGAGACTTATCAGGAGAAATACTGAAAAACTTCCTGTTCAGCTTGCTTAAGAAAATCTTCTTTATGACTGAACTCCGACTAACCACCTTCTCTACAAAACCAGTGATTCGCATGAATCTGACGGATAAGCTGTCACTATTGGCTTCATCAATGTGCATCTAGCAATTCAGTTGCTCCGTCTGTGGAGCTAGGTATTTCAGCCATAGCCAGCCAGTGTTCGTTATATCCAAATGCATCTCCGAACATTTACCCCCGCCCCCTTAGTCATGGATTTATAAAGGAGGAGAAGAATGACCTCCGCCTACTCATAGCTTCATCCTGAAACACTCCTGATCGAATCTGGACACGAAGCAAACACACACAGAGCAACATCAAAACCAACTGCAGAGTACATGGGAATCTTGTTAATAAAGTACGAATCCAACACTTCTTCAAACCACAGAAGTAATGGTAATTTATCTCACATATCAAATCCTGAACTCTGCAAGCAAAAGAAGTTTGTTGAGCGATTAAGTCTATAGTGGACTTGACCTACCTTAACATCAAATAGGTAATATTTTGTTTCGTCTTTTTCTTGCTAATTTGTTTCTCAATTGTATACTATTTTCTCCCCCCCCACACACACACCTTATTAAATACCTCCCTTTATTGCCACTGTTGTTAACTTGACTCTCATCCAACTTTAGTTGAATGCTACTCAACGCTGTCAAATGTATTACGTCCTTAAAATTGCTTATTTAACTGTATTTCAGTTTCTACCTGATTAACACCTTCTACATTACGTAATTTCTTATCTAAAATTTACAATTCTAATGACAAATGACCATCTACATTATGATTGTCTACATAAAGTGACCTGATAGGAATAAGTGTAATCAGAGTGTTCACAGAGTACTATCTGAACACTTCATTTTCTTACAGCGTTAGGGTTAGGTGATTTTTCACCTCGAACTGTGTGTGATCAGTAAATGACGAATTCGATTCTCCTCTGTATTACTAGTTCGTCCAAGTAGCTAGCCAAAATTAAGACGATGAGTTGAGTCGAACTGGATACATTAGTGATTAGTTCAGAGTTGAACCAGCGGAACGACTGTCTGGCTGGCTAGCAAGCATTACGGGTTGACTACTCACATCAATCATGCTATTTTTCACAGTCCTATTCAAATTTATTCAAAAAGATTAAGTGTTTCGAACATTTTGAAAGAGTACTATCTCCATGTGCCAATAGGATAAATAAAGCCTATACTTTTAATACCAGAAATCAGATATAATCCAAGTGATTGTGACAGAAGAAATCACAAATCATAAAAAAAATAGGTAGGAATTTAGGTGGGAAACCACAAGTTACTGTCAAAAAATTAAGTAGTGTGAATGATATATCAAAATTTATCAGCGATATAGTGATACATTAAATTATGAATGACCCCGAATAATCCCATAAAGTTTTAGTCAACTCACCAATTTTGAAATGTACAGCTCCTTGTAGATTTTCACCAACATTAACCCAACCGTTCTTTTTATCACACTAAATTGAAAAAGACAAACAAAAATATTCAAAGGATTAAAATTAGAAAATATAAATTACCAAAAGAATGGATATTGAACAAAGAGTACTCCTTTCGATAACCCCTTCATCATCAGGCTCTACATTTATACATACATTATAGTGAATGAATGAGTTAGTGTTATAAATGACATTAATGTTTAGGTAACATCAAATCAATAATATTGATGGATTACAGCTGAAACGCATCAACATAGAATAAGCTGAATGTCAGAAACATTAGGAAAGATAATAGTACAAATTCATGAGTTTATAGCTTCTACTGAAGGCAAGGGCAATAGTAGGGGCTGAACTTGCTTCTTTTGAACACAGAGTGCAGGTTGTTTGAGGTGAATCGCAATAGCCTCTGCTGTTTGGACCCTGCGGTGCTTCGATGTTTTTGTTAATTTATTTGGCACCCGGTAAAATATAGGGAAGGATTCATCTACGCTGGCTTTGTGGCCTGTTTGCACCAGATGTTCCAATATCGAGCTGTTAATAGTTTTCACTACACCTTTACTTAGCCATGCTGGGAGATGTTCTCCAGTGAGCACGAAAAATCAAGTTCCTAGAGCAACGGCCAATATAACTGGCTTCACAAGCGCAGTTGTATTGATAGATACAATTAGAAGTGGCTAGTCTAGGTACTTCATCTTTCAGTCGAGGTAGCATTTCGTCTGTGATTCAATTCCCAACTTCAAAACCTCAGTTAGCCGGTAATAAAGTCTGGTAAAAAGAGGGGAAGTTGGGTGTGAGGCTAACAATTCCATATACCGTGAAAAAACAACATCACAGCTGATGAAATTTCACAGCCCAAAGCTTCAAGCTCTAATTGTGTTCCACTCGGAACACGCGGGAGTGAATGAATGAACTGAATGAGAATGTGTTACGAGAAGAAAAGTCAAAGAAAAATGGGAGGGGGGGGAAAATAAAGGACAAAGGATTTACTTACCCCTTCAGTTTTCATAATTTTACTTCGAAGCCATGACAAATAATATACACGCACACGATTTTTACGTCCAGATATTGTAACTAGAATATTTTGACCTTCTAAAACAGCCATTCGTGAAAATCTTCGTCTTGTTATTAAAGAATACACTGAAATGGAAAAAGCGAATATGATTAATCCACTTAATTTAATTCATATGTATGAGGAATAAAGCCTAAGAGACTTCAGGAAAAATAAAAGAAGGAAAATCAGCGATTCCATCGCTTTATTCATATTGCCAAATAACACAATCAAACTTAGTCAGCTCGTCACTACATTAGTAGAAAGGTGTCTGAATACATGCGAAAAATGGTCTAAAACCATACTCTCCGATCCCTGCCCCCCCCCCGCTGAACATCCCCTCTATTCCCAACTCTCCCCTTGCTTCTCATCAGGTAGAACCAGAAATAAGTACACAAAATAATATATGCTCGTACAACCAAGTATAGGAACTCAACGATACCATATTTGGCCAGCCCGTGTTCTAAGTGATAGAGACAATGATGTTAAGCGCGAAACCTATGACTTGTTTTGTTGTTAATAACATAATTTTAGGCTCTTTTATTTCTCCCTTATTCTCTCTTATTTGTATTCTATAGTGAACAAACTTCTTAAATATACTTAGCTACTTAAAATTATTATCATTGGCTTACTTTTTTATTCTTTGTTCTATTGCTTCTTTTGTGTATCTACTGGGTCCGACTATATTATCACTATGAGTATTACAAAATTGTTCTGTCATTCACCTTCGTGTAATATTAGTTTTGTGGTTGTTTTTTTTTGTTCGGCATTATTAAATTGACAATCATAGTTGTGAACGCCATTATCACCATCTTAAAAAGTTTGCATTATGCGGGATTACTCACACTACCACTACAAACACACCGCATTAGAGCTGACAATAAAAAAGCAACCTGAAATGTTTATTTTATGATTGTTAAGTGTTGTTCAATCAAATTAACTGATCATCTTGGCTATATAAACATTCTTAAATATCATTTCATAACTTCTTGTATGATATTAGCTGTTACTGTTCACCACGCATAAACATATCATAGCTTTCACTATCCAATACTGAGACATTATTTATCACTGTTGTTTATTTTCCAGTCTACTTCTTGGTATTTTTCCCCATTTTTTTGTTTCTGTTGTTGCTGTTTTTTATATTTATTTTTTTTGTAATACTCCTTTTTAAATGTTTGATAAAATTAGATGCAATATTGTAGATATGTGCTGAAAATTCCACACTGGACCACCATTAGTACTGTTTCTGGAATAAAAGCGAAATTATTACCACAATAGTTACACTAAACGAGGTTTAAAGCTGAGTTGGCTGGGCCGATCGAATTCAAGTTTCACACTTTAACTGACGAGCATTCATTTTCTCCCAGTGAGAACACCACTGATGCACACAAATACAATACAACTATAGTACAACACAGTGTGCTTAGAAATGTTATTGTAATCTAAAGACAATTATAATTTGAGAATAAAACAATAGACTCGAAAACATAATTCTAGCAAAGATCAAACCCAAAGTTTGGATACGCTACGTCGACGACACATTTGTAATAATCAAAAGAAACGAGTTAGATAAAACTCACAACTTAATAAACAACGTCTTCAATGACATCAAATTCACAAGAGAAGAGGAATCCGAGAACAAAATACCATTTTCGGACGCCTTAGTCAGGCGAACAACCGCAGGAGAATTAGAAACTCAAGTTTATAGGAAATCAATTCACACAGACCAAATCCTGAATTACAACAGCAACAATCCAATAACACACAAAAGGAATTGCATACAAACACTATTCAAGAGGGCAAGGACTCATTGCAGCACTCCCACTTCAAGGAAAATTGAAGAAAAATATCTCATGGACGTCTTCCAAAAGAATGGATATCCACGGAACTTCATCAAAAGACATATACCCCCAAGTCAACCTACCAAATCAAAAGCCACCAAGGAAAGCACAAAGAAAATCACCTTACCATATATAAAGGATATCTAAGAAATCACTACAAGACTCTTCAAACCTTTAGGAATTGACGTCGTACACAAACCAACAAAGTCACTGCACTCAATTCTATATCAACCAAAAAACTCAACAGCGAAAGAAGATAAAACCAACATCATCTACAAAATAAATTGTAACAACTGCGAAAAATACTACATTGGCCAAAGTGGGAGTCCCCCTCGTCTTCGTATCCACGATCATAAGCTAGCCGTCAAAAGACATGATATCCACTCCCTCGCTCATCTCACTACACACAGACAACCACGGACATCAATTCGACTGCGACAACGTTCAAATATTAGACAGAGGAAACACCAAGAATGCTGGATAATTTTTAGAAGGCTGCCTTGTATTCCAGTGAATCACCAATCATTAGACACATGGAGATAGACAAAATTTATCAACCACTAAGAAAGAAACTCCACACACAAAGGGTCAAAGTTCAATTCAAAGAAACAATCAGTTCCAATGCAAGTAGCCACCTAGAGAGTGTAAAAACACACAAAAACAAATAATCGCGACCTTCAAGGTCAGGTCACCAGGAGAGATGATTAATAAACTCGTGGAGAAATCTAAAAGCTCACTTCAAATTGAAGTATGCGCTGAAGATGTCACCCAGTAGGGTGATGAAAGCTTCGCAAATTAACCATACAGCTCAGAGAACAAAACCACATCAAAATCACCCACCTGAGCTACAAATCTTCTCTATCATATCTAATTTCTCAGTGAGATCGATTGATTGATTGATTGATGGACAGACTCAGCACCAAGGAGTGTGATCTAAACACACTAAAGGATTGACCACAAGCTGACATCGTTAGTTCAGGAACTATTGGAAAGCCACCATGGAGTACTGGACAGATGTTTCGTCCTAGTATTGAAACTCTTCATCAGTAGAAACCTACTAAGGTCATAAACTAGAACCTTTTGGCTAAAAGACGAGCTCGTAGACCACTAAGCCACTGGAACCCGACTGAATCAATGGTCAGCCCATGGATTCCAACTTCTGTAAATTCACGACACAGAGTGACCACTAGACTAGCCAATTTCTTCGGCGAGTATCTGTCCTCACACCCGAAACACTTGCTGTACCCTACTGGTGGTCACGACAAAGTCTCAATTACCAAAACATTGGTACGTCTATAGTTACATTACAATAAGCCAAGATATTTTATACAGTTCATACTCCACCCAGTAGTCAGTTATTACTATGGCTTTAATGAGGAGTTTGCTAACTGACATCATTTTTAGTTTGTATATTCACATATAGATAAGGGCAGATTGATGATAGAAGCTCTTCACATCACGACACTTGCTGCGGTGATCTCAAGGATGCGTATATATAGGGCACTTTGTTGAGACAATCAAACACATATATAGGGCAACAGTGAAGAATAGATAACACAGTCAAATGACCTTGGACCAACCAATCAGATCGCTCGGTGCTACTAAAGGATGCCGTTCATAATTCTTGTTGCAAGTTTCACTCAAATTTGGTTTTTGACTTCTGTATGAAAAAATGCGTTGCTAGGGGAAAGACTAAAACATGAATATGTGGAGGAAGAATACTGGCTCTTCAGAAGTACTCCCATCATTTTGATGGTTATGTATTCAAATGCAACCTTCGAAGAAGGTTGCTAGGACGCATCCCAAACAGAAGTGCAGATATTTTAATACCAATAATCCAACGACTAGTCCTCTCAGGGATTAACATTCACTTAGACGAGTGGAGAGGTTATTCGCTACTATCATCATACAGTCGATCATTCTTATGAATTAATGAATTCTATTGAAGGGTTCCGGGCCCACCGAAAAGCAAACGTATAAACATGGTCAACAATTCCCGATATGCATTGATACATAGTCACTGAGATGAAGTTTCGCATAGACACTGGCTTGTTGTGTCTATAGACAACCCTATGAGAGACTGAGATCGATTTTTGAGACATATATACCTTGTGTAAATTATTTTTATTACTCATATATCTTATAAATACACTTTTTTTATACAATAAATGCCACTTCTTAGCTAGACGAATCTGATTGGATGGTTCAAGGTCATATGGCCTTCGTGCCTATTCTTTACTGTCACCCACATACAGGGCTGATAAGTGCACTAGAATTTGGACACATTAGAAAACAATGTGTAAACGACACTGGTAACATGCTTTATATAGCCAGTCACACCATGGTGACTATTATGTCCTGTTTGTTGGGAGTCAGTGGCTGCATGTATGTAACCACGATCCCAGTGACAGAGAGCATTTCAGAGCAATGTACATCGATGAATGGGAAATTCAAGTTAACTCAAGCAAATAACAACTGATATTCCTTGTTCTCATGACCCAATGGATAACACTTTGGTGTTTGAAACGATAGGTGCGCTGGGTTCGAGCTACAGTGAGAAAATCACCATCATCATTGGGGACCCCAGTACACCCAGGTACATCCACCACTAGCCACTGTCAATCAATCAGTATCATAATCAACTGTCATTAATATATGTGATCAAGGCTGTCACTGGAATCTCTGACTCAACATATCAAAGATGATCACCTTCAAAAGCCGATACACACAGCTGCCTTTCTATCATCATCTTTGATATTCTAAACAAAGAGATTAGTCAGGCGGTATATTTTTCTCTATCGTTTATCTCTCAAAACTACCTTGTTTCATCTCCTGCACTGACTTCTATTGTGTGATCATTCTGGATTGGCAAGCTACCACCACCACTAATTTGTGAAAAAAATTCCATACGGATCTATGCGTCTGTCTGTCTATCCATCATCCATATATATGTGTACGGCTGTCCACCTGGTTAATCTATCGATCGATCGATCGTATGTCTGTCTGTCTATCTATCCACCTATTTGCATCATCTCTACAAGTAGTCAATGAATGACTAACAAATAAACATGTGTGCTGTGTGCATTACACCAGGTTAAATAAAATTGCTTTTCAAAATATAAATATTTCATTTTTAATGGTAATTGAATTAAGAAATACTGTAATTTTTAAATTTTTAGATTTAAACGAAACTCAGATTTTTAATTATTACTAATAATATTGGCTACTATCAGCATACTTAAGGT